GCTGGAGAAAACCAACAAGCCTTGGGGCATCAATGTGCTACCCTTGATCAACAAGGCCTTGGCCCTGTTCCAGTGGAAGCACGATTTTACCGAAGCCGAGAATCTATGCCAGAAGGCTCTTATCAGTATGTTCCTCAAACCCAAACACTCACACACACCCACTGCACATCTGACAACATTATCAACGTTATTTTGCTAACTCAATCTGTCCCTCGCCCTCCCCAGTTGATCCCGAATGCGACATCGCCGTCGCCACACTCGCCCAACTCCTTCTGCAGCAAGGCAAAGTATCCCAGGCGCTGAAATACTTCGAGCGAGCCGGCGAGCTAGCCCGAACAGAGGCAGAAGTCATTAACGCCGTGTCATACGCTGAAGCCACCCGTGCACAACTGGAGGTGCAGGAGAGATATCCTAAGCTTGCGGCGCGACTGCAGCAGGTGGCTGGCGCGGCTGCGATGGGGGTGCCTCCGTCGTAAGGACAGAGGATCACCACATCGACACAAACCCCAAAAAACTCATATCGGATTGGATTGAAATTAATTGAAAGGAATATTTTACTCTGTCTCTGCCTGCAACAACCACCTGTATTATGCAATATTGTGTGTCTCCTAACCTCCCGGGGGCCCAACGCAAACGCGAACGGAAAATTAAAAGCACCTGCCATTATCACTTCTGAAAGCTATGGCAGCAGCCGGACTCGCCGGCTGAATTCCTCTTGTTTCACTTATCTACATGAAATTACAAAACCCTTTATCTGTCCGGAGGAATCGGATTCGATTCATGCATCAGAGACTCGAAAGCTCTCCTCTCTCAACTCCTGTCTTCTTCCTTTCCTCTTTCACTTGTATCCTAGTGTATCACCGTTGGGCTTTTCCCTCTCCCTGGTATGTCTGTGTTCCTAACTTTGATAGTTGATATTTTTGTGTTATCATTTAGTTTGAAGCTTAAGACTGTTTTTTGCCCCTTCGGACTGTCGGCATCCCGAACCTCCTTTTTTGTGTTTTCTTTTTATTTCTTCTGAACTAACCTAGGTGTCATCACATATATATGGTGGTGGTTTATATGGGAGCCGGGCCTTAAATGTGTAATTACGAGGGTGCTTTTCATTATTTATTTTTATTATTATTATTATTATTATTTATTCCTGTTGTTGGGCATGCCAGAGTAATCATATATATTTGTCTCTTTTTCCATCCAGTCTCCTACGTAACTCCCATCCGTCGTTTATCCAACCTTAACCTTCGAATGGGAACTAAAAGTAGCCATCGGATGACCTCACGTTGATATCATCAAATTTCCCTTCAGCAGATAAGGGTTCCGAACGGTAGGGTGTGAGTTACAGCTGAAGGTGGTTTTTCAAAAAGGTGAACACGGCCTAAAATCTCAGTCAGAACAACATACTACGGCATACGAACCTTTTACATCATGAATATTGCCCCATTGAAACCCAACGACATAACAGGTAAGCGGTGAAAATAGCGTCAAAGAACACGGCGGGTTCTGCCTAGATCGGGTCACCGCCAAGTCCATGTAAACTTTTGGTATGTGTGCAGCAATACACGTTCATCCCACAGCTTCCCTCCCCGTACCCGCGACCTGAGCTTGTCAGAGTTTCCCCGCCGAGTTGCTGGTATCCAGTACCCGCCTCACCGGCTTTGTTGTAAGGACCTTGACAGTACGATGTATGTATGAGTGTGTATTGCATTGTCAAAACTGCCGATCCCGCCCCCCCCACCCCTGTAACTAAACTATCCTTCTGGCCTTCCCCTCACTCTCCTGCCTCAACCTCATCCTCTCATCCTCATCTCAACCTCATCCCCATCCCGCTGCCTTTCTACCGTATATATATAAATACATATCCCCCCACCAATGGTATCTGCCACTGCCATATACTACGCACGCTGTTGACTCTGTTCCTCCTTCCCCTTTCTCTCCTGCCCCGGTGTTGTTGCTTCCTAGCTCTGTTAACTGCCATTTCTCCCAATCTCCAGCCCATCCGCCCTGTTCCTCATTACTCATCCCCCCGTTCTGCTTATCTTAACCTCAGCCTCAACGGCTGACTTCAACGCTACTCTCCCCTACTTCAGTAGTCTTTTCCATCCTCCCTCTCCATCCAATATCTCAGCAGTCTTCAGCAGTATCGGCGATATATCTGGTTCATCCAGCTTAGCTACCTCATCTCATCCATCTCTCCGCCATCCCCTTTCTACATTCCCCACCTCTCCATTGGAATCCTTGACTCCGATCTTTCTCCGGCGGGCCCGCACTCTACAGCTTTGTCAGACCACTCACGCAAGCGTGTGTGGACAGAGTGACTTTTGCGACTTGCGTCATAGGTTGGGAACAGCTTCTCCCTCAGCAAATGCTATATCAGCTTCCCCTCCTGCACTAGCTCTCTGTACCTGAGCAATAGTTCACAAATACATACTTCACTCTCCCACAGATCTACCATTCAGTATTTGCTACAGACTCTATTTTGGGCTCTACTTTTAACACATGTGATTGCTCGTCTTCCAAGCTATTTAACGGAGCATTCTTCCCACTACCAACATCAAATCACGAGATTCCAATTGCTTAATCCTTGTAGCCGGTGCCATCCCAGATGCGGAGAGGGCATCATGGAGTCTAGCAAATGTACAGTTCCTCCGTTATCTCGCTGCTATCGAAGTGTTGCAATTCATCAAGTTTCTTCTCAACTAACACCAACATTACTTTCTCCGTCCTAGTTGCCGTGACCCTCACTCTCCTAAATTCCAAATGCTCTGTCGGACCTCGAGTCTTGACTCTGTCTTCAGATACAGAGAAAATCGTCATCGGTCGATCCTCCAAGGCGACTAACAAGAAACTCGTCCCAGCACAGAACAATGCCTGGTTCGATTCTCGTGTCATGTCCCGTACCCACGCCACTATCACCATTTGTTCACAGAAACAGGTAAAATATATATATATATATATATATATATTATATATATAAACCCCGTGGTCTTGTCGACTTATCTTCGGAGAATTAGCTAATCATTTTTGGTTTCGTGATCTCCAGCAAGCTTCCATCACGGATACCGACTCTATGCATGGCACCTGGTTGAACGGCACTAAGCTTGTCAGTAACAATAAGACACCGCTCACGAATCGCGATATCCTGACATTTGGAGCCAAGATTACTCGTGGAGCAGGTAGGTAGCCCATGCCGCTTTCCACATTGGCATCTTCTATGTACATATCTTCCTCTAACTTCTCTTTTTTTTTTACAGAAACCTTTGAACCTCTGAGAGTTCGCCTAGCCTTGCTATGGACAAAAGAACCGTATGTCTTGCATAATCTTAGCCAAGTTTTTGGGGCCGTTATTTTTGCTTACCATCCTTAGGACTTTTGCCAAGGTGGAGATTCCAAAGCCTAATAAACGCTACTCAGAGAATACCTTCGTCGTGCCAGATGATGATGATGACGATGACGAAGATATAGAAGATCATGATTTCGATGATCCACAAGCAGAAGCTATTGTCGAAACTACTCCTGATGCTGAAGCACTGACTCGGAAACGCCCTGTTGAAGCCAATTCGGATGTCATCTCCGTTTGCTCCTCTGACGAAGACGATGGACAGGAAAAGTCTTCCCCTACTTCATCCCCACTAAGCAAACCCGAAGACCATTCTACATCGAAGCCCAGATACGAAGAACACCCAGTGGTCCCTCCATCCTCCAGTCCAAAACTCAATCCCTACATTAATCTGGTGGACGAAACGGTTACAAAAAAATCGGGTCCGCAACAGTCCTCCGCCGCTGATGCTTGCCCTGACTCAACAACGGGATTGGCCAAGGAATATCCCGCGGTTACGGATCTTCCAACTGAAGATGACAGGGACATCAATGCAGAATCGGGAGATGAATTTAACCAATTTTCAGATGATGAGCACCTCTCCGTTTCTGACTGGGAAACTGAGAATCTTCCATTTGGGACCGAAGCCGCAGCTGACTCAGGTGCTATCAAACCACGGACCAGCGGCGCAGAAAATTTAGCTAAGGCTGCTATTCCCTCCACCCCAGAATCTCTAAAAACCACATCCAAGTCAGACGGTGAATCTGGAGAGCCCGACAGGCATCCTAACCATGCTAATAATATGAGCCCATCCGCGTTTCTGACGCCCGCCCTTTCTAGTGCCTCCAAACCTGGTGATAACGACAGTCACATCTACTCCAGGGCTATGAGCACCCATGTGTCACGGGAGCAGTCGAGCACTGTGCATCCCTCAGTTCTGGCCTACAAACCTAGTCCTCCCGAAACGAGGGCAACCGGGAACCGGGACCGGAAGTTTGCTCTCGGTCTACAAAGAACGCCCAGTCCCTCCGATAAGGCCCTTGCTAGACCAATAATCGATGACTCGCACGGGTCCGTAGCCGAAAACATATACCAAGGGTGGGCATTTCCACCTAAGCCCAATGCGCAACGATTGTGCGAAATCGCTCCTTGCGAATTCCTTCGCTCCCTAGAGCAAGAATCATCAACGCAGGGTGGCGGTACATCTGCAGTTACTGGCAATTATGATTTTCCTCATCTTCCCCCTTTGCGCCCGCCGTATTCTGAAGGCCCCTTTGCCACTTCACACCAGGAAGAAGCTTGGTTAATGGAAAAGTACGTTATTAATTTGTCCTCCGCTCATGCTTTGTACTAACTCACTGATGGCTGGAGCAGTACACGCAATCATGCCATTGCCGAAAACGTCAAAGATATCTATCAATGTGGCACGTTTGCACCAGCCCGGGCTTGCAGCAGCACATATAGGATAGGATCATCGCCACCATATCCAAGCTCATTACATCGGCCTCAGTGGCAGACTGTCACCGACGGTCCGCATGACGCATCCGTTAGGGAGCCAACAGCACAATACCCGACCAAACCAGCCAGCAGTTCTGTGCCAGGGCAATCCAGACAAGCAACATCCATCCCAATCGCCAACATCATCGATGAGGAGAATTGCATCCCCGAACCCTGCCGACCAAATAACCCACTAAAACGAAAGGCAGAGGAAATGTCAATACCAGAAGTCCATGTCCCCGGGGACCCCGATGGAGATGAATACCTACCCGACGCGCAGCCGCAGTATATCATCCCACCTCCATCTACCTTAACCTCAGCGTCAAACTCTCAATCGACTTACTCAGTCGTCGATAAACAGGAGGGCCAGGACCCCCCTACCTCTACGGAGCAGAGTGAAATAGCACCTCCACAGAAGAAGGTGAAGACGGAGCCGTCTCCTGCCCGCGGGAGTAATTTTGCCCGCTATGCCGCCAGCGCGCTGGTGGGCGCTGCGGTTGGTGGTATTGGTGTTGTTGCCGCTCTAGCGGCTCTGCCGCCGGAGTTTTTTGCCTAATCTAATGTGCGGGAAAACTATCTTGGTTCATGAGCAGTTATTTGGTGTCTGATTATCTTTTTTGTGAAATTCAAGTTCCCAGTGGATTGGACCGGACGTAGGAAAGATGTGGATACTGCTTCTTACATTTGTATGTAGCCTTCTGCGTGTTTTCCGATTTTATACCCCTTTTCAGAAACACGGGCAATATCCCCCCGAGTTAAATATTTTACATCCGGGGCGTGGTCTTTGGCTCAATGGAAAACCTCACAGATGGACGAAGTGCCAAGCAGCAATTCCTGTCAATCCGTTAATGATCAGCGAGACGCTAACAGCAGGTAGAAAGTGGACAGGTAATTTACTGAATGAGAGTCGTCGTTATTCGGGCCAAGTCTTCTTTTCCTTATTTTTTTCCCCTTGGTTTTATTTAACGGCGGTGGGTAGGTGTATGACAGCTTTATCCCCTTGCGTTTCGAATGACAGATTTTCTTTCCCTGCTTAGCTGAGCTCATTTACCCCCTTTTCTTCCGATTAACCCAATTTTCTAATGTTTCCTCATGACATATCGCAAAACGACGGGATCCAATTGTATTCTACACCCCCCCGGCAACCCAACCCATCTTTTCCCTTCTACTTTCCTTTATGAATTTCTCTTTCTTTTTCTTTCTCTTATACACTCTCTCAATCACGAAAGGAATCATATTTAAGCAGGTAGTTTAATTGCAACTTTATTGTCTTCATTTCCTTTTATAAGATGTCAGTCATATGTTAACAGTGCCATTGAGCCATGGGAGTGAAAAAGCACTCGTAACTTTAAAAAAGAACGTCATTAACTACTTGAATGTAAAAACATTCATGTTTACTTCTTTTAAAGAGCAAAGTTGCTTTTGGTGAAAGGAGAATAAGCATGAATATGTTTGCCCCCCGTGGACGGAGATAAGGAGCACATTCATTTGAGAGTTTATTAATAACAGTTGCAACAGGTTGAACTATATCAATGAAGTTAAAGCAAAACATAAAGACCTAGTCAACTACTTGATTCATGAAGAAAATAGATCGATTAACCATGTGCATTCGAGTTATTTTTATATTACATATATATATATATATATATATATCTGCCTGGGCTCTTCACTTCTTGACATTTCAACCTACAGACATGAATGAAGAGAGAAAAGGTAACTATAGTCGCAGAGCTCCTGTTGCGTGTTCGCAACGGAGGCTTCTTATCAAAGAATAGACCTCGATTGCTTGGAGCTCACCTGCCAGTCTGCAATATATGCGCAATGAATACCTGCCTCTCATGGAAGATGCCTCTGAAAATATACAGATGGACAGGCATGTAATGAATATAACATATAGGATATGTCAACTGCGGCGGTTTCGTAAAGATATAGGGGGAGCAAGGCGTCGGCCTGCGATAGCCCCCTCCTGAAGATTATTTGATTTCCTTTTTACACATCTCTAAAGTTCGAAAGGCATATTTATATCATGAGCTACATATTGTTGAAGTTTAAGGATTTATTATTTCTTTATCGAGCAAAAACACAAATGTATTCAGTGTGTTTGCACACGCGGGGTGTAACAAGTCAATGAAACATGACTGAGCCCAACCCCCCCCCCCCCCACCCGGGGCCTTTCTTACCATTCCTTCCCTACTCTATTTCTTACAGGATACAGAAGGTAGAAAGTAAAAACAGACCAAAGGCCCAAGCCAAAAACAAAGTCCCCACAAAAAAGGCAAAGGAAAGAGATTCTGTAGGATCTGACATACCAGAAAACGCAGTGTGGGTATGGGGGAAAGTGTAATGTAAAATGTTAAAGCGGTTTGTGGATGGTGCATTGTATATCTGTATAGAAGGGCCGTGTTTGGGTTGTGGGATAGGAGATTAGGCATAGAACGGTTGAGAGGGGTTATGTTGCTGAATTCGATATGTTGACTAGGTCGGGCATGTGGGGAATGGAATGGCGAAGATATAGTACAGAGATATTTGCAGAGAAGATGAGGTTAAGTGCAATGAGTATGTGCAGGCGGATTCGTGCGGGTGAAAAAGGAAGTAGCAAAACGTGCCGGTATCTTCAACAGTTGTTCCAGCTAGAAATTACGCGGTGTGCCAATGCTAGAACCGGGGGAGGGAAAGAAAATGTGAAATTAAAAGACGTAGTAAGCGGGCAGCAAGAGATATATGTGTTAAAAATAATACCACATCAAGAAACACCGGCTGCGCGTTCTGCAGCAAATAATAGAACAAACGAGCATACAGATGGTGGACAAGAGGTCCAAACGACAACTTCACGTGAAGGGTGCATATATTTGGAAAATATCGTCAAGTATCGAGAGATGTATTCAACAAATATTCATGCAGCGATGGGTAGAGGGTCGATATTGGGTATATGGTAAGGCTAGAATTAAAGGCGATATCAACTGTTCAAAACTCAATCGAGAGGATCGTGACGGAATGTGCAGTCGTCGCCCTTGAGACATTTTCCTTCCTTCCAATATCGACACGGGACAAGGCCTGCCTTGGGCTACGAGCGGGAGATTGAATCGTTAGCTAGGCACTGCTGCAGTTTATTCAAGTCCATAGATATGAGAGAAACTTACATGTTTCTTATGTTTGAAGTCGCCATTTGTCCTAGACCGCTTGTTGTGACCATGACCGTGACCATGACCATGGCCTCCGTCCTCAAAATTGTCATGTCCACCATGCTTATTGTGGCCATGGCCATGCCCTTCGCGCATCCGCTTCCTATCAGAGTCCTCATAAATGTTACCTTGCTGCTGTTTTTTCTGTTGATTTTGATTCTGATTATATCCAAAAGACTGAGAAGATGGTTGTTGATGCTGTTGCTGCTGTTGGGGTGTTGCAACATTTTGGAACTGGGATAGGACAGCAGCAAGGTTCGGGGTTTGGGTTGACGAAGCCTGGCTTTGAGCCTGAGGGAAAGAGGGGGGAGGGGTTGCTTGCTGAAGCTGCTTCTGCGCATTCATGACAGCAAGCAGTGCTTGAATATCAAGACCGCCTTGCATTGCGGGGGTTTGTGTAGGCGGTTGAATATGGGGTATTTGAGGTATCGACGGGACGGTGGGTTGGACCTGGCTGCCAGAGAATTGCCCAAAAGTTTTTTCGACATCGAATAAAGGGCTTGATGGCTGGGATTGTTGCCCTTGTTGGGGGGTTTGCTGGATGATCTTGAGTAGGGAAGCGATATCTACCGTGCTGGAATTCTGGGTTATCGAAACCGGTTGTAGGGGTGGTGGGGGTGGGGCTCGTGCAGCAAAGTATTTTGCAGATCGCGCCTGTTTGGTTGATAATGTTAGACGGCTAGAATTGAAAAAACAGTCCTGTTTAAAACCAAATACCTTTATTCTATCTTCTGGCTCGCCAAAGGGGACCTCTGGGTTATATGGTTCATCCGGATCCGGCAAGGGTGGTTCCTTAGGAGACAAGGGGATATCGGCTGGAGATGTGTAGAAGACACTCAGTGTATTCGCTTCGCGCAGCTCCTGAGCCCGTTTTTCGTTACTATCGGGATTCTGTGTGCCCCCTCTCTTGTTGAAATTCCGGCTCCGTTCCCCGGGATCAAGTTCAGAGAAGTCGATTCCTAATTTAGACAGGAGTTAGGAACTAGCCAATATTTAATTAAGAAGTTAATCTTGATCATACCTATTGGTGTAGTGTAGGGACGAATAATCTCCTCTCGAGCTTCAGGATCATCATCGTCTTCCAGATCGTCTAAATCACGATGGAGTTTCAGGGTTCTTCCCTCGCCGCTTACATCAGCAACATCGCGGATCATGCTGTCGTCGTGGCCAACCTCTTCCTCGGGGTCATGAGTGAAGAGACGGATTTCAGTCAATTCTTCATCCGGTTTCCAGCTCACACGTAGCTTACGACGTTCTTCTTTTCGGAGACGTTTCTTGCGTTCTTCCTCTGTTTCCAGGGGAAGATCCTCGGCTGGTTTGCTAGAAGCAAGTTCTTTTGGCTTATTCAAATCAGCCATGGTCTCAGAGAATGAGAAGGCAGGCTTTGGCGCCGCAGCTGAAGACGGGGTGGGCTTCAGCTCTGGTGCGGAACTGTTTCTTGACATCAGTATGAGTCTTCCACGGCAATAGAGGAGATTGTGTCCGACATACTTCGCTTTTTCCTTGGCAGCAGCAGCACGGGCAGCATTGGAGGTTCCAGGTTTTTTAGAAGCAGACATTAAGCTACTAAAGAGATTTGGGGTGGGTTTTGGAACCACTATATTGGCCTTGGGTTTAGCAGCAACTGCACTCTCGCTTGTAGCTGCGGGCTTGACTTCTTGAGCGGTGACTGTAGCGCGTTTCGTCGGGGCTGCAGCAACAAGTTTAGCAACAGGCTTGCCGTTGGCAGCAGTTACAGTTCGCTTTGGCGACGGAGCACCACCTGCTTCAGGCTCACGGGGCCTCTTGGTCCCGGGAGTGAGCTCAGCGGGGTTCTGAATGATTATTTCGGGTTGCATAGGCACTAGCTCATGTTCATTGAGGGTGCTCTCCGTTTTATTGGAAGTAGCTTTTGCGAGTTCGGCCTTCCTCTTTGTCAACTCTGCGGCATTGGATAGAATTGTTTGTGCTAGCTGTTTAATGACATCACCCCCTTTTTTGACAAATCGGGTAAGGATTTTGTCGTTTTTGGTTTTCTCAAGCATCGCTTGATCCATTGTCACGAATTTTGCCATGAGCTATTATCATCAGAGTTAGCCAATGTGTGCATAGCAGATTTGGAAAGAAGATGATAGAGGTTACCTTCAATATATTTACTGTTAAAGGTCCATCACTGTCTGCTGCGGTATGTCGATCAAGCAAAAATGAATACAGTGCAGACACAATAATTGGATGTTCACCGAACCTAACATACATATAAGCATATTTCTCATTAAAGTGATTGTCTTCCTTTGATTTTAATAAAACGGGGGGGGGGGGGGGAATAGGAGGAAAAAGGGAAGCGAGAATAGAAGGGTCATTCAAAGTATGCAGGGGGCAGAGTTGTCAAGCAAGAGATTCTTCCATGAATTTTAACAGATATTTGATTTGCTCGCGAAGCTGAACAGATGATGCCTGGATCACACATTTAAGTGGTGATTGATAACGGGATAGACGTTTGGTACAATTAGCTGCAGCGAAATATAGAGGCTGGCGCATTGATTGTACAGGCCATTTAAGCTTCATACATTCGCAGCACTTTTAACTTCTCCCTCGGAAATTCTAAGGATTAGATGTAATAACGCTTGCTTCTAGCCTTGAAATGGGGCACAGATGCTGATTGTCCGCACATGGCATTATTATTTAAAATATATCTCGATTTTTTCTCGTTCCATTTCTTTCCTCTCTTTTCTCTGCCCAAACAGCTACAATTGGGTTGATAATAAATGATAATTCAAGTGTGCAGAAATGGGAAAAAGCAAGTTGGACATACCTTTGGATGATGGCTGGGTGCCCACCTTCCAGAGCAGTAGTGACTATAAGTTCTATGAGACGGCGTTGCAATAAAACTTCCTTCTTGATTCCAGGGATTTTGTCTTCATGGTTTTGATTCTCAGCTGCTTTTAGTAATTCGCTTTTCGATTTCCAAGTGTCGCGAACTCCCTTGACAAGTTCAGAGAAAAGCATCAACGCATTTCGTATTGTTGATATTGGCGGTTGCTTATTCCTTGGCGACCAAACCGCTTTCAACGTGTCGTACTTGGTGCCACTCTCGACATCCTGAGGCCGTACAGGAGGAAGAGGAGAGGGCTCTGGTGCGACCTCGAGATCCGAAGAACCGTCGGAGCCATCACTATCAGAACTGGCTGAGGCATCCGATGGTCGTGGACCCTGTTTGACCATAGCCTTATTGGCTGCAGCTTGTGTACGATCCTGAACCTTTTCTGTTTCATCTTTTTTCTTGCGCTTTGTTGGTGGTTTATCGGCTTTTGTTGTTGCTAGTCTCTGTTAGCGAAGCGTCATATAATGATAGAAATCATACTGCACTTCTTAAGAAACTAATAGGCTTACATTTTTTTGACTTTTTCGCGGTTGTTGTGACAGAAGGAATTGACTGTATGTGATTTATATTTGGTGGATTTGAACCAATCAAGCGGGGAGCAATCTCCGCGCTGTATGTTTGATGATACAGACTACTTCAAGTTAGCCATCTATACACGGGAAAAGGGAATAAACAGAAAGTAAACTAGGAGACTGACTCTGGGGTAGGCCGATTGTCAAGGTCTGCTGGATTAATAACAAAGAATTCATTTTGAGGGGAGCTAGGTTGAATCATCGAATGCTGAGACGCAGAAAGAAACTGCGGATCAATGGTATTGTGGTAAGCAGATCCCGGGTGAGATTGCTGGAAGCCATTTGAAAGGTTAATGTTATCATTCTAGGGGGAGTTCATTAGCAATGAGAGTCATACAAAAGGAGCAGCTGTCAGCAGTTACTTACTTGTATATCCCTTTGCAAAGTTCCTGATCTTTCATAAGACGGCATAGGACCCCTGACGGATGATGGAGCGATCTGTGACGAATGATTCACTATTTGCAGATCATCTGGAGGTTGTTGACGAAAGCCATTTTGAGGCGCAGCGGGGGAGTTGGAATAAAAGTTCAGGGAATCAAATGTATATTGTCTATAGGAAGTTGGGCTTGGTTGGGTTGTCTCATATGTTGGATTTGAAGACTGAAACTGGTTGAGTTGGTACTGGGGGGGCAAAGCATAATTCTGCTGTGACTCTTGTACCATCTGGGGTTGCAACTGAGGCTGCAACTGAGGCTGCAACTGAGGCTGCAATTGAGGCTGCAATTGAGGCTGCAAATGGGGTTGCTGCCATTGCTGCGAGGGGTGGGAATAAATATCCTGAGGTTGCTGGTGAGATCGCTGGAGGTTGGGTGCAGCTGTTCGAAAGACAGGATGATCCCATCCTATACCAAAAGGCTGGCCTTCAGGCTGGTTGGAACCGTACAGATGGTTTAATCCACCCCAGAATTCTCCAGAATAGCCACCAGTTGCGGGTTCTGACACAGACGAGGGATTGGAATTCGACGAAGAGTCCATGATCAGACTTCCCCCCTTAATACCCTGACCGATATATTATGCAGATTCCGTCAGGGTTACAGTGGTCACGTGGGACACCAGAACAAAAAAAGGGTGTGCCCGATTTGGAGTGGGGTGTTGCCGCTTTTAGGGTTCTTTGTCAAGAGATGCAACTGATCTAACCGTATGCGTACTAGCGTATAACGATAAAGGCAAGAGGGGCAGTCTCATTTAGGAATGGCGCGACGCTGTTTCTCAACAAGGCGAAGTTTGATACTCAGCCTCCCCTTGCTGGCTGCTTCTAAAGGGTTCGGGTGGGCAATAAATATCTGACAGTAGTTGGCAGTGTGTTTTGTTGCCAGTGAGGGCTGGCTTTTGCTGGCCTAGGTTTGAGTTGAGATTTGTTCTTTTGGGGGGGATTCTTTTGTTAGGTGTTTGTTAAAGCCCAGAAGGGTGTGTTAGATGTTAAAAAGAAAATATAAATAGAAAAGCAAAAAAAAAAAAAAAAAGTGCGTGCGTGTGCAGTAGGATCAAATAGGCTTACTTTGCCCTCCTGAACGTCAGTCTGACCGTAAGTTTTTGAGGTTCTTGCCGGTTTTAATAAGGGGAAAAATTCTGCAGCAAAATAAACACCAACAGCAATACACCACAAGTCACAAAAGTACAAGCAAAGTTTCCACTGCAGGAGCCGTTCAACTCCCAAATATTTCCACACAGTTGTATTGTTCTGTCCCTCCCTCCCAAACGTATCTCAAACTATTCCTCGATCCTCGATCCTGCGCAGAATTCTTCTCCAGGGCCCCTAAGTCACCGACGGCCTTGCCAGCCTTTCCACTTGCCTTAATCCACGGAGCAAGGTCTCATACAACGAGCCAGTTCTTCAGGTTTTCAGCTTAGTAGCATAGTGAATGCCTTTACGATGAGAATTCAGCAGTTGAGAGGGATATGTGGAGATGAGTGAGGCGGGAGAGTCGGGTTGTTCGAGGAGAGAAGAAGCTGTCTGGGCACGACGTTGACGTTGACTTCGTGTTGTTTTGTCACCCGCGCCACCGGCCCATGTCTCCTTCCGAGATCACGTGTGATCGCTGCGGAAGAACAATATGGCCGGCAACCTTGTTAATGCCCAGTCATTTCCTTTTTCAGAACCCCGGCCTGAAGTTTGGGGAAGTTGAATTGATATTGAGATCTGGCGACAGCGACAACATGCAACTTACGTATATCCGCTTCGCGCTCATTAATTGATTGAGCTTTGTCCCTGGTTTCCCAGCTTGAATGGCTTTCTGCCCTTCTTTTTGGATCCACTAATAATTATTAATAAATAATTAAACCCTACAAATCAGGAATTCCGAGTCGTCAGCTCTGCAAAGCCTGCTCAATAGGCCGCAGCTATCTCTCAGCTTCCATGGCTTCACGTCCGCCGTCTCTCCGGCAGAGGCAGATTGGTATGTATTGCGCTCTGCCACTCTGCTGTATCTGGACCGAATCCAGCTAAATAGATCCTCCAAACAGCTTCCATCGAGAAAATTCTCAACCTAAATCATGACGCGCCTCACCACCCAGATTTCCAAGGCGACTCTGCCGGCCCAGGTGGCCTAATCCACTCCACCCCGATCCTGAACGAAGATGGCGATCCTATATGGAAGGTGCTTGTATTTGATAACTTAGGTCGCGATGTCATAAGCAGTGTTCTACGAGTGAACGATCTTCGAACCCGGGGGGTCACCATCCACCTGTACGAACATCCTTTAATAAAAAACTGTCCTTAAAGTGGGCTATTTTTTGTTGTTAATTCATGGGAATAGGAATATCAACACCACCCGATACCCGATACCAGATGTCCCTGTGCTTTACTTCGTTGAACCAACTCCGGCGAACATACAACTTATAACTTCAGATCTGTCCCGGGATATCTACTCTCCCGCATACATAAATTTTATATCTTCCATTCCACGACCCCTGTTAGAGGACTTTGCATCTCAAATAGCTGCCACGGGCACGTCAGAAAAGGTGGCCCAGGTTTACGATCAATATTTAAACTTCATTGTTTCAGAACCAGATTTGTTTAGTTTAGGGATGGGAAAAGACCTGTTCTGGAAATTAAATAGCCTCCAAACGACGGACGAGGAGTTGGATAAGATGATAGACAGAATTGTCAGTGGTTTGTTTAGCGTCAGTGTCACCATGGGTATGTTTCTCCCTGTACACGACTTCCTAGTATTGCCTCTCACTAACGCCACCAAAGGCTCCATTCCAATAATCCGCTGTCCGAAAGGCGGACCATCGGAGCTGATTGCTACTAAGCTTGATCGTAAGCTAAGGGATCACATATTGAATTCAAAAGATAACTTATTCTCCACTGCAAACCAACGGCAGGGTGTCAACGTCCCATCCAGTCGCCCTGTTCTAATCATCGTCGACCGTATTGTGGACTTAGTGCCCATGCTCTCTCATTCCTGGACGTACCAATCATTGGTTCACGATGTCTTGAAAATGCATCTCAACCGTATCACTGTGGAAGTACCGATCGACGATGTTAACCCTGCAAAGGGGACAACAAAAAGATCCTATGATTTGAGTGTGAATGATTTCTTCTGGAACCGTAACGCAGGCGTTCCGTTCCCACAGGTTGCTGAGGACATTGACGCAGAACTTGCACGGTACAAAGAAGATGCAACCGATATTACAAGAAAAACTGGCGCTTCGTCTCTCGAAGACCTTCAAAATGATACAAGCGCATCTGCTCAACACCTCAAAGCAGCCATCACGCTTTTACCAGAGTTGCGTGAACGTAAAGCACTCCTTGATATGCACATGAACATCGCAACTGCCCTCCTGAAGGGTATTAAGGATCGACAATTAGATAATTTCTTTCAACTCGAGGAAAACATCACCAAACAGAATAAATCGCAAATCCTGGAAATACTGTGTAACCCGGATGGGGGCACGAATCCATTGGATAAGCTTCGACTCTTTTTAATTTGGTTTCTTAGCGCAGAAACAGATTTTTCCAGAGCGGAACTGAACCGTTTTGAAGATGCCCTCACGCAAGCCGGATGCATCGACCTCAGCGCTGTTGCATACGTGAAAAAGGTACGAGAAATTACACGAATGACAATGATGACAACATCCGCAACGGCACCCCAACAACCTTCCTCCGACCTCTTCCGTGGCTTCTCCTCCCTCTCCAACAGACTGACAGACCGCATCACTTCCGGCGCACTTGGAGCAAATTTCGACTCTCTAATATCCAGCGTCAAGAATTTCCTCCCCGCTAACAAAGACCTAACCTTAACTAAAATCACCGAATCAATCATGGATCCCGCGGGCGCATCAAGCTCTGCAATCGCCATGACAGAAAACTACCTCTACTTTGACCCTCGCAGCGCAAATGCAAGAGGCGCCATACCCCCAGGAGCCTCGACCCGTAACCAACCAGGTGGGATGCCCGGGTCCCTTGGTGCGACCGGCCCTGGCATCAGCGCCAGCTTCGGCCAACGACGACAAGGTTTCAGCGAGGCAATCGTCTTCACAGTTGGCGGTGGAACAATGGATGAATATGGGAACCTTCAGGACTGGGCGCGTCGGACGGGAGGTGGGCTGTCGGCGACTGGCGTTGGGGTGGGCGGATCTTCGGGCGCGATTGGTGGATCGAGTACTGGAGGATCCGGGGCGTCTGGCACGGGATCTCGACGGGTTGTATACGGGAGCACAGATCTAGTAAATGCGACGGAGTTCTTGACGGAGGCCCTAGGGAAGCTTGGGAAGGAGATCTGATTTGTTAAGCGGATTTCCCCTGATGTTTTCCTTCGCTTTTAATACAACTTTGAGTTCTATCCTTCGCTGCACAGACTCCATCTCCATATCCGGAGAGGATGTTTTAATATTTAGTAACATGGCATCTTCTCTGATGTATATCGGATAGGACAAAGTTGGCCTACCACATGTAATAATGAATGTCATTGGGAAGTATTATTTAGAAAATGATACCTCAACCTCATGTCAATGCCCGGATCGGTGCTTCTCTGCAGCCATACCTCTTACTGTTTGTTGCTTGGGTACTTTGGGGTTGAAAGGAGGAACAAGTTCCGTCCAAGATGTCGAGAGCGGCATCACGTGACAGTTTAATACAGCTTTATTCCATCGACGGATCAAACATTTCGTTACTTTCCGTTGATTGTTGATTTTAAGTTTCAATGTATATCCATCAATATGTCTCTTCAAATGCTCCATAATAGTTAGCTATCTCCTTATAGGTGCTGCTGTTATCCATAACAACGGTCATGATGTTTTGTTTGTTATCTCCTCGTAAGAAGGGGAATCAATGGGTTGTCTGTGGAAGTCTGAGCTCATAACACTTATCCTCATGACCTGAGTTGTTCATGCTTCTCCTCTTTTCCTAACCCACAACGCGCTTCTGCGTGCGGGGAATTATACAGAAATGATATATCAGCCACCTCTAAAGGTACGTCCTGTCAACTGACCAATATAGAACTTCCAACTGACTGAGAGTCAGAAAGAGAAAGCTTCTTCAACCTCTTTAATTTTAAACATAAAAAATCAGCACCCGAATACCCTGCTTGCTCGGACATCCTGCTCGCCGTCGTGCCCTCGCACATCCAGGAGGCGACGACCCAATTCTAAGCTTCGACAGTAATTCACATGTTATCGTTGTATGAAGCTATCACCAGAGGAGCTAAGGAGATGAGGCTGCACTTCTGTTTTCCAGCCAACGACCTTCGGCTTTCAGCAACTTATGAAGCGACTTCCTGGCTCAGACCAACACGCTACGCTATTTGAAAAAAGTGCTACATCTTCCGGGTCTGGCTGCTCTCCCAGGCAAGGTTCAGGTGGAAGGAAATCAGGATGACGTTGCTATGAATTGAATTTGTTTCAGTTCTGCACCACGGCCCGTCAGCCCTCCAAAGAATGAGCGTACATCGTACCCCAATCATCTTTGATTTTGGGGTTCCTTGCCGATCGGGTATTTGTTTGTTTTGAAATACTGATCAGTGCTCCGATATTTTTCTGGAATGATACCCCGGAGAGTTTCTGGCTATGTGTCTTTGTCTCTTGTTTGACTCGTTTCCGTCTATTTTGTGTAGCCTGCAGCTGCCGCGGGAAACTGGAGCCATCCGTGTTTACACTCAAAATGCAAGCTTGGGGCCTAGAAGGCAGCGGTGCAAGGTCACAACTCCTGAAATACCAGGTGTTTAGCCTACTTGATGTAGAGGTGTATTTTATCATATAGTTACATGTAGTTTATTGTTAATAGTTAGCTGCGATCTCGCATCGCAGTACCCAGAGGACTCGAGACCATTTTCTCTCATATCACCTCAGTCAATTCTTGAGATATTTGAAAGTTGGTTTGCGTGGTTGGTATGGAATTTTGTCTGCTGGCATCCATTAAGTTACTAGCTGAAGAGTTTGCGCTACGTTAACCAACTGGTTTAACTACCCGGGAAATATTTTAAGCGACAAATCTTACTGTGACGATGACATTCAACCTGCAACAACAACAACAACAACAACAACAACAACAACAACAACAACAACAACAACACGGGATGTCCCGTTGAACAACATCAATGATGCATCCCAATGACGAATTCTCATTCTCGTTTCTAAATAATCTCAACGTGGGACTTAGCGGTTCCTGAGTTAATATCCCCATTGAGCAAGTCTTCCTTGACTCCATCCTCAATCCAGTAAAGATCTAGCCTGGCTCAGGAGTCAGCATCGCAAGCATCTGTGAGCGGTGATACGCCTCTGTCAAAGCCGCTGTTGCTGCAATCAACCCTTTCAACAAATATCAACACAGAGGTTTTATGTTTCTTCGTTTTAAAAAGGCCAAACTCCGAGTCATGCCATTGGCCAGTTAGTTACGGAGCTGTCCATATAGTTAACCTCGATGATTCGACATCCAACTGCACCACATGTACAGTGTTCAGCTTTCTTGCATGCTTTTCGCGTGTGTGTTCCCTGAACTTGCTTGATGTGCGGGATCGCCTAATATGCTTCGCTGGAAACGTGGATTTTATTTATTTATTTATTTAATTTTTTGATGATTTGACTGGGCCGATTTTGACCGTTGAATGCTCCTTTGAATTGTGTTGGCGGCTATTCACTAACAAGCAGGGTCCTCTTTTGGTTTTGAAATTGTCCTCTTAGATTGATTATCACTGTGCTGTTTAACCTCCTTTACTTGCATATACTCTGTTTCAGATTATATGACGAACATGCCGTCTTGGCCTGTGTCTGTCTCCGATTCACCAGGGCACGGCTGGGTCCATTCGTCTCGTCTCCTAGGGGTTAAATAAGATACGGCGTTTCAAGCTGTTCAGCGGATTTGCCCCGCAGACTCAAAGCGCTAAAGGTTTAATGCTGGTCTACGGAGAACTTCTGTTAACCTGTTAAACCACTACAAGTCGTCGAGCACCCTCTGCTCCGTTTTAGACCGGATGCGTTTTTACCTTGCGGAAGTGGGGCAGCCGAGCACTTGTGGTCAATGGTCATGGATTGAATTTTTTTTTTTCTACCAGCTCCCTGTAGTTTGGAAGGAGGGCATTAGCTGTGCATGAATCAGTTCTCGGAAAGCCTGCTGTGCGACTGAAAACATAGCTGCTTCACCCTAATTAGTTGGCTTGCAGATTCGTTAGCTACGACTGGATCGCTTCCCGAATTCTCACCTCTTCTTTTTGGGGATCAACTTCGGCGGACCCAATCCAACTTTGGGTGACTAGACTCAAGGAGCATCTACCGCTCAATGTCAGATTTGATGCCATTTGTTTCTGATCAGTTAAGCCGAAGTGCTTTTACAAAATACGTCCAAAGCTTCCACGACAACTACGGCTCTCACCCTGTGGCCCTGCCACATACTGTCACATGAGTTAGTTATGTGCTGGCACTCTCCTCCTTTCATACGCCGTCATCGACGAGACGGGATTAACTCAAGTACAGCATATACGAAGTGGACACAGCTGGCATTCAAGGGGGCAATTGCGTTGATACCTTACGAATTGCCGTTTTTACTCGAACCCAGAATTTACAGTTCCAGCTCGCCTCACAACTTTCCGGAGACAACAATGTGCCGCCGTCATTCCGTCTATTCCGAATTTATTATCTATCCAAAACAAATTCGTGAGAAACGCTTCTCTGCTTGGGATCTCCTAGGTCATTCGTCCTCCCCCACTCTAACCTGTCGCTCTGTTCTTTTTGGACATACTATTAGCCTATTTTCACTTCAATTCTTGTCACAACACCTTTTTCTTGTGCTCCCTATGCTCTCCATACCGCGATATGACTATCTGACATATCACCCCCATGATTTCATACCCCTGGAAGTTTGGACTTCTTGTCATAGGGCTTCCGCAACCCAGCCCTGAAGACAGTTCATATTTGGGTTAAATCCCTGTGGGAGTGTGCCTCCTGCTTATAATTCGACTGCGTAATAATCGGACCGTTATTTCATATGTTGAGTCCAAATATCTCTCCCGGACCAGGCGCGAGAGAGCAAGCAGCGAATCGATAGACGTGATCCGCCTTCGGAAAATTGCTAGCGCCCCGTCTTTCTGATGCCGTATGTGCGATTGTTCTTATTCTTATCAAAACCACCAACCATGTTTCCATAGGTTGAATTGTCGTCGCTTTTTCTATTCGATCAATTACATGACTTCCAACTCTCACCCCCAACCTCCTCCGATCCCTCTGAAATTCCCCCTCTTAGCTTTGAGACGTGATTACCCCTACCTGACACGTGGGTATTATTCTGTGTATGTGAAAGCTTATTGGTGCCACTGGGGTTGAGTCGGTCAAAAACGCAAGCTTGCCGAAAATATGCTTTGTCATTGACTGGTCGGTATTTTGATAACCCCATCCTGTTGTCATATTCTTAATACGGTCACCTAATTCCTGTTCTCATTGTTACCACCTTTTCAACCCTCCGTACGGAGGAATACCTGAACATTTTCGATGCTACTCTGCCTGGCATCAGTCATCTGAAGGCTTTTCAGAGAATAGGCACCTCTCCCCCATCCCTGTTAATAGTTCAGCCTCCAAGCTAGATGAGCTGACGGGGGCGGAGGGAATCCATTGTCGAAATTCCGGATTTCCAGTATTGGAGGAGAGATCATCATCTCTGTCCTCCTGATCTAATTGCCCTCCAACGAAGGCTTGCCATGAATTGTCAAATATTATCTCAGCCTATCGTATTGTCTTCGGTGGCACGGCAGGTTCATGGCATTAACATTATCGGATCCTCCCAAGGTTATCCCTCGAAGAGAACAGAACCCCTCACCCCTCTAGGGAGGATATTTTTTCTTTTTATCTTTTCTTTCTTTTTTGTGCGATCAACGGAGGAATGTAAGGCAGCGGATGAAGTTATAAAATAGTGCGATCCACTCTCTCTGCTTATATTCATCTTGATTCCAATGCTAGAGCAGACACCGCACTGAGATATCCCGGCCGAGCAATTTCATTCATCAGAAAACCATTGACGAAGTTCTTATATTGAGCTTCGATACAAGAAAGCATTTTGGACAAAGCTCGACAATTCGAGTGACATTGGCCTCATACTCCTGCATATCGTTGCACTTGCCGAAAGTCCATACCGTCCAGTTCTGACAGGCATCCAATTTTACCTATCAACAAATATCAATGTCATCTACTTCCGTCTTAGAGACCCGTCCTCAGGGAACAACCGCCAAAGCGTCGACCATTGGCATACAAGACACCAGGTCATTCCAGATCGATCCTCATCACAACCGCTGCTTAGGCCCCTTCAGGGAGGTAGTCGAACGATGCCCAGTGTGCGCCGGCCATCCGACACGGTAAGCTGCAACAATCCGATCGGCAACCCCATAACCAAACCGTCATCCATTTCATGTCTCCAGTTTCATACTTTCGTTTTTCAAATATTCTAACCATCTCCCAACAAGCTATGCTTGCGCACATTGCAACTGTACCGGCATTGTCAGATATATTTGCGTCCATTGCCGAGAGTCCGACGCCATAAAAGAAGCCATTGCCCTTGCTTCCTCCACGGCAAATACGCCTAAAGACCGCGTGCAACAATTCAGGTAAACCCGCCTTTTGGAGCGACCAGGTTCGAATTGCGGCAACATAGATAGCCAAAACCCGCAGACTCCACAGTACAGCTACGTTGTTCTTACCTAGGTACCTGTTTCATAGTCTATTAATGCACATTTTCTTTAAACGTAATCATATCTCCAAAATCTACTTTGATATGCGACAATTCAACATATTCCGAGACCCGATTCAATTGTCTAGCCAATGAAAGGAACACTGTAGATCTTTCTTCCGGCTACAGCTGACCTTCGCCCAAACTCCCATTGCTAGCACACGGCCAAATGGTCGCTCTGAAGCTCGGCCTAGCTATCATCATGTATGGTGCCTTTTTTTTTTTTTTTTTTTTTTTTTTTTTTTTTTGGCTTCGCTCTCTCCTTGCGCCTTGTATCCTCTTCAACTTCTTCAGTGAAAATCCTTCGCTACCTTTCCCGGGGCTCCCCCTGACGCACACGTAGACATAGAGCTCCACCACACACGACACCTACATTGCCTGTGAGCAGGAAAGACAACATAAAACCGGAACAAGGCGCAACGGGGTTGGTATATCCATATTTCCTCAGCATACGGTTATACATTTTCCTCTTCTATCCTATATCCGTGTAGGAGTCGGTTATTACTCAGGATTGGGTAACGGGGACCGGCGACCGGCTACTGAGGTTTGTTGGATGGCGATTGCAACATATATGGGACCAGTGACTGGAGTGGGATTGAAACGCTGATTGTTGTTGTTTCGATTCTTGACCCAATATACTTTTTTGTATCTTAAATCCTGGATGGGGTTGACTCTAGGGAGTCTTCTTTTGTCAATCTGTTCCACTTGCGTTCACCAAGTAGGTACCTAATCAATTTGAATATTGAACAGATATGGAATGGATATGATTTCCAAGGTTCCCATTACCCTGATTCAGACGGATATGGCCTGCCACAAAGAAATATCATAGCGGTGACTTGGGTTTCCCCAAGTGTCCTATACCGATTGGAGTAGCCGCTGGAGCGAATTCAACTCACCGCCTCGATTCGACAAGGAACTGGACTGCAGTTGAAATTGATAGCCAATAAGCGGTCCTAAGGCCCGAGAAGTAAAATGGAACATTTGGAATTGCACCGCCACCAGAAGGGGCCGACACAAATCCAGGGATCTGTATGGCTCTGATTCATGCTGTTCTTGGCAGTCGAAAGCCGAATACCCAAGATACCTCCTTATGCGCCAAGATACGCATGCCAACAATGTCACCCACAAAACATATACTGTCATTCAACAGAGCGAAGGGCCCAAAAATGGGATTGGGGATGGCGGGAACTAAAAAGCCCGAGAGTAGAAGCTCACCTGGTCAGCCAAGACGTCGGCTATTGAAAAGAATATGTCGTGGGTATAAGAAGAAAATGGTGGAAGGTATTTCACCATGATAATGACGGGTGAATGAAATAAAAACAGGTTCTCAGGGGAGGGGGTAAATTGTCAGGTAGACAGAGAGTCCCTCCTGCATTTGACTTGGATAATCTGGTGAGATAATCATAAGAGCAATAAAATATCGTAAATCAAACATCACATATCATTTACGTCATAAGATGGCTTAACCGTTCCAAAAGCTCCCAATTCCGCTGTACTTTGACCAGATGAATAAACGCCAATATACCCTGCCAGTCCAGAAAGCGTCGCTTCCTCACCCTCTCCCCTGAAAAAGGGATGGGATTTCCCCATGATACAATTGTCGCTTAATCAGCAAGCCTACATAAAAATATATAAGTTAGAAAATTGTTAGACTGAGCAAAGCAAACCAGGAACTACCAAATAAATGAGTAGCAAAGATTCGAACCTGTAGCTAACCAGCGTATCCACGCGATGATTGCTCGTACTAAAGCTTCTAAGCTGCACTTTTTCCCCATTCTTGATCTCCTTCGCATCGCTATCGCCCCATTCCATGGGAACTTCGGAATCAGCGTCCGCATATACGAGCACGTTGAAGGTGCAGTTGCCATCCAGAACGGGGAGGAAGGTGACAGATGCTGTGATTTGGCGGAAGATAGCCTGAATTTCTTCTTGGATTTCTTTCTCAGATTTCTCGGGCGGAGGGGTTGTCGGAGTGGGGGACTCCGATGTGCTGAATTTTGAGATTTTCAGGTAAGCTAGGCCCTGGAATAGCGAGTCATGCGGTATACATTCCAGCGGAGGAGGAATATAGTCGGAGCATACGTACATTGGAGTATTCTCGTTATCAGATGGCGCTTTATGCCCGGAGCGGTTTCGAGACGACTTCTCCTTATTGAATATTTGGACCTGCAGTTCCAAACGCAGATATGTCAGTTTAAGGAATGACATTCCGTCTGGTTTCTCTCCATTACATGCGGGGGGATGGATTGAGTGATATTCCATACGTCGAACTGCCACCTCTCGACATGCTCCCCAGATTCCTTGTTAGTGATAACAATGACAAGTTTGGATATTTTGCCGCCAATCATCCACTTGTTCAGCTGCGACATGATCTTTTTTATATACGCCTTGACTTGATCGTCGGAAGATACTAGACAAAGACTCATTAGCAAAGGCCAATGGATGGAAAGTAGCGGTTCTCCTACCAAGCATATTCAGGCCATATTTCTTGACACTGAAAGTCTGTCAGCCACAGTGTTTCCTGTCCATTGGAGAAATGCCCTCGTGTGGCCTCACGCTGTAAAATCGTCCGCTGGATATACCCCTCGTTGAAACCTGGTGGACAGTTCCAATTAGCCTCATCGTCCATTGCCCTGCCCTGCCCCAGCCAGTTGGTTCCGGTTCAGGTCCATACGTACAAAATGGAATGGATGGAATATTCAAACTGAGGAGATCAGCAACAGTCCACCGACTCGCTGACAAGCCCACTCACAAATTCTGCTACCAGTTTCGAAGATCCTAAATCCGAAATGTTAGAGCTTGAATTCATTTTTGTAATGCAGGGTGATTGGGCTGTTCAAGCAGACTCACCCTTCAACGACAACTTGTGCACTTTTGACTTATCTTTTTGCGTAGCCATTTTGACCAGATAGGTATTCCGTATGTGTATCAGAGGGATTGAATTCACAGATATCTATGCAGTTCCGCACGCTGTCGATCTGTTCATAAGACGAATGTAAGAGTCTTCTTTGAGTTGTTGAGTCTTGTTTACATTTTACACTTGTCGCTGCGGCAATGGAGGACACACGTGACTTGAGTCTCAGTCCGCGATTCTAAATGTTCCAAACGACGCACAATCTAATTCAAACCAGTTTGTTCAACTCTCCGTCCAGCATACAACTTATTACTCCCCTACAGGCTACGGAGGACACTGAAGTCTGACACCGATACCCCCGATGCCAATGCAGATATCCCAATGCGAGGATGTCTGCAGACAGTCAGATGGCTGACTTCAGCATGGCAGCGGCCGCCATCGTATCCCCCGCTATCTAGAGCTGCTCCATGTCGGTTCTTCAACGTCTCTATTCCCCGCAATGAGCAAAGCAGGAAGCCAGTCTCAGATCTGGAACGGCGCATCGCAGCCATTCCCATCGACCGGTTCCGAAACTTCTGCATCGTTGCCCACGTTGACCACGGCAAGAGCACTCTGTCTGACCGACTTCTCGAGCTTACAGGCACCATCCAGCCTGGGGGAAACAAGCAAGTTCTAGATAAGTTGGATGTCGAACGAGAGCGGGGCATTACCGTCAAGGCTCAAACTTGCACCATGCTTTACAATTACAGGGGCGAAGACTACCTGCTACATCTAGTCGATACTCCTGGTCATGTCGATTTCCGGGCTGAGGTGTCCCGCAGTTATGCAAGTTGCGGAGGGGCGCTGCTCCTCGTAGATGCCAGCCAGGGTGTCCAAGCTCAGACGGTAGCGAACTTTTATCTTGCCTTTGCCGAGGGCCTCAAGTTGGTGCCGGTCATAAACAAGGTGGATCTGCCATCCGCAGATCCTGTTCGTGCCTTGGACCAAATGGCAAACACTTTCGAGTTGGACCCCAAAACTGCAGTGCTTGTATCGGCAAAAACCGGTCAAAATGTAGAACAGCTTTTGCCGACTGTTGTCGAACAGATTCCTGCGTGCGTTCTTTACTTTTAAACCCAATCTTGTAAATCGTTCCCGTGTGCTGACAATGTGTTAGGCCTGTTGGGGTCCATACGAAACCTCTGAGAATGCTCCTTGTTGACTCATGGTACTCGACCTACAAAGGAGTGATTCTCCTCGTTCGTATATTTGATGGGGAGGTCAGAGCAGGGGATCACGTTGGATCATTGGCGACCGGGCTGAAGTATCATGTTGGCGAAGTTGGCATCATGTACCCCGGGCAAACCGCTCAATCGGTCCTCCGGGCGGGGCAAGTTGGATATATTTACTTCAATCCCGCCATGAAGCGCAGTCAGGAAGCTAAAGTGGGTGACACCTATACAAAAGTCGGCTCAGAGAAACTAATCGAACCGCTCCCGGGATTCGAGGAGCCCAAATCTATGGTGTTTGTCGCTGCATACCCTGTCGATGCTAGCGATTTCCCTCACCTTGAAGATAGCATTAATCAGCTGCTCTTGAACGATCGCAGCATCACATTACAGAAAGAGTCATCCGAAGCATTGGGCGCGGGCTTTCGACTTGGCTTTCTTGGGACTCTCCATTGCTCCGTTTTCGAAGATCGCCTAAGGCAGGAACATGGCGCGAGCATCATTATCACACCACCCACTGTTCCCTTTAAAGTCATATGGAAAGATGGAAAGGAAGAAATCATCACAAATCCCGCCCTTTTCCCAGAAGAAGACGCACTTCGGGCAAAAGTAGTTGAGTTGCAGGAACCTTTCGTTCTTGCCACCCTCACATTCCCTGAAGAATACCTCGGAAGAGTCATCGAACTCTGCGAGTCTAATCGAGGGGAGCAGAAGAGCCTTGAATTCTTCACTGCAACCCAGGTGATTCTTAAATACGAATTACCCCTTGCTCAGCTAGTCGATGATTTCTTTGGCAAGCTCAAAGGATCCACCAAGGGCTACGCCAGCCTGGACTACGAGGAATCCGGCTGGCGACGCAGCAGTATTGCCAAGCTCCAACTGCTTGTTAACAAAGTTCCTGTTGACGCAGTGTCGCGAGTTGTGCATTCCAGTCAGGTGCAGAAACTTGGGCGAGTGTGGGTCAGCAAATTCAAGGAGCACGTTGACCGACAAATGTTTGAAGTGGTGATCCAGGCCGCAGTAGGGAGGAACATTGTTGCGAGAGAGACGATTAAGCCATTTAGAAAAGACGTGTTGCAGAAGCTGCATGCTGCCGATGTTACGCGACGGAGGAAGCTTTTGGAGAAGCAAAAGGAGGGAAGAAAGAAGCTCAAGGCTGTTGGCAACGTGGTGATTGAACATAAGGCATTCCAGGCGTTTTTGGCCAAATGACCCTTTTTTTTTTTTTTTATCTTCTGCGATGTACGATAGCTAGGGACCTAGATACACTGTATATTTATAGGTTAGTTTGGATTCTATATTCCACCAAGAAATTTACGGGGCTCTCTTCTGATAACGTAATCAATCACCTACCGGATCACCCCCATCATTCTATCTGACAAAATTTCAAATTAAGCAACAACCACAAGGAATTCTATATAGAAATTATACAGGATAGACACTTAGGTCTGTTCACACTGCCTAATATTATGTCCAGGGGTATTACACTTGCTGCAGGTTGGGTGTCTTTACTTTCTAGTCCCTGGGTTCAAATCTTCAATTCCTTCCTCCATATGTTGATCAGGCTCCTGAGGTCTAGCAGTCCTAGCTAATGCATCTTGAGCTGTTAGAATTCCTTCCTTAGCTATATAAAAATGTGATTTCTCTCTCTTTCACTTCTGATTGGTGTTGGCAGCTCTCAGCTCTGTGTTTTCCTTTGCTAATATAGCAGCACTATGCCATGGCCAGCTGACATCCCTTCACTAGTTGATCAAGAGCTTGGTTGATAGGACTAGAAAGAATCTCCATATGGTGTTTAATCATGCTGCTCTGCAGCTCCAACTGGGTCACATTGCAGGGTGTCTTAGGAGTCCAGGAAAGCTGAGATCCATGCACTGACCCTGGGGGGGGAAGGTGTATGAAATTGAGTATGTAGTTGTGTAAGAACCTCATCTGGATTGTATGACACTAGACCCATGGCTTTGAATCCATTTCTTATAGTAGTGTCCTCCATGACCTCCTGCCTAGCTGCTGCGTAGCTAACTAGGAATTCCTCCTTATCAATATGATTGATCCCTAGTCACATGCTTTGCTCCACCTTCTTACCATATGCTTTCTTCAATGGTGAAAAGCAGCTCACATCCAGTGGCTGCAGTAGATGAGAGAGGATTGAGGAGACATATATAATGCTATGATGCCATGATCCAGACAGAACTTGTCAAATTTGACTATGGCATGACTACCATGTCCATCCAGAATCAGCAGTCTCTTTTTGCCAATTTGTACAAGCCTCAGTAGATCTGTTGAACACCTTTCATAGCCATGTTAAACCAAGCTCATCTGTGGTCCAACCCTTCTCACTGACACCAATTGTCCAGTCCTTTGGCAGTTGCTCATACCATGAGGATTGATGACACTTGCTCTTTAGTATAATCATTGGAGGCAGAGCCCAGTCTGTAGCATTGACTGCTTCAATCACAGTTGCTCATTCACTATTCCCTGGCTGTATGAGAGATGGCTTATTATCTTTCTCAGCTCTAGTGACCACTCTGGCTGTTGAGATAATCCTCATCATAAAGTCAATCTCATCAAAGTTGTAAATATCCTCCAGCACAATTCCATACTTCTTTATTGTACAATTCACCAAGGTAAATCTTTCACATAGAATCTTTGAATCCTCACACTGAGCTCATCGATAGTTGTATTTGCATGAGAACTTTATCTTTAGTTCAGGATGCTGTTGTATAAATCTATTGACCCAACATTCTTCTACAATAGTAGAAGCACTGGATCCATGCTCTTCAAGTAGTAGATTGGCCATTTCTTGTACAGTCATGATTCAGGGAGGCTGTCCTCTCTCATCCATGGAGATTATCCATTCAACTAGAGATTCTTCTTCTGTAGAGGTCAGTTTTCGATTGTTTAATTGAGCATTTGTGTGTGTGATTCTGTAAGGACGGGTGAGAGGGTGAGACATCAGCGCGCGGCTGATATCTAGCGCCAATATGGCGGACTGTATCATTGGTTCAACGTGCTGCAGTTGCATGCGGCTTCCACCTGAAAATTTGCTTTTCATCTCAAAACTTTGCCTTTTTTTGATAGTTCTCCTTTTGAGGAATAGCTTTCCTATTACGCCTGTTGTTGCCCTTTCGGGCTAGTTTGTATATAAAATGAGCGGTATCAGCATAAGGACATCAATCATCTCCAACCTCTATAAAAGGATGGGTGAAATTTCTTCATTTGCTGATAGAAGAGCTCAATAGAATTAATGATCACTATTCTGCCCCACAGAGAATTACCTATTTTGGCTTCACCGCCTTCCTATTCCGTACATCATCTCCCTATCTAGTTCGTATAGGACATCCCCGTATATCGGCTATCTCATACGTTTGACAGATTCAGCTGTGTAGACTATAGGTCAAGAAGAAATAGAGAACATTATATAACTTAGAAGCAGTTAATAGTTGTAATTTGCTGAGCTTTATAAGCTTAATGGCTAATAAAAGCCTGGCTTCCTGATTAGAAGCCGTTCTAGTGAGGGTGGTTGACATACTGAATTTTTTTAATGAGCATGAATGATTTGGATGGAAGTGATCCAGTAGGTAGGTGATTATTGATTACATTATAACCTGCTTGATTTGATTAAATAAAACAATTTGAAATTACATATTGATTTCAAGAATTCAAGACAAATTACAGGGTGTTTAATTGATTAATACTTCAAAATTATCCCGGGCCTAAAATAAGGAGGGTTTTCTTCGCCAACCCCGCTATTGACGAAATGTTTTAAGGCGAATGAATCCATTGGAAAAGACTTCAACTCGACTCCTCAACGTCACTCAATAAATTCAGTCATGACAAACTATTCTCCCGCTCTAATTAACCACACCCGAAAAATAACTTGTTCCACCATCATCCGACTCATCGAGCACAAACCCGTCGTTTCGAAGTTTTAACATTTATTCTTAGCTATCCATTGTGCTGTTTTCGAGCGGAGCATCCGTCCCTCCCAGTTCCAACCATCACTCCCCATCTTCTCAGAAAGCGACCATGAAAACTTCGTGATACCAGTGCCATGCAGTCTGTAGAGGCTGCGCAGATCGACCTGGGTAAAGCCCAGGTCATGGATCGCATACCAAAAGTTATCAAGGAGATCAAATTTGGAGTACTGTAAGTGCGCCCCTTATTGGAACTACGGGAAAGAGAAGAAGTTACACGGGAGAGCAAGAGAAGGGACGTGAAAGAGGAGAAAAGTAGAAAATAATTTGAAATAAACAAAGAATATGGCTGATAAACACATCATCCCAATTCCAACAGCTCAACCCAGGATATCGTGAGCCAGGCCGTTGTCGAAGTTTCGGATAGGAAGCTCTTCGATCTCGAAAAAGACCGTGCCATCGTACCCCACGGTCCTCTCGATGGCCGTATGGGGATCTCCAGCAAATCGGGCACTTGCGATACTTGTGGCGGAGGGCTGCAACTCTGCAGCGGACATTTCGGGCATGTGAGGTTGGTCTTGCCAGCTTTTCATGTGGGCTACTTCAAGCTGGTTATTAGCATTCTTCAGGAGATATGCAAGGTCAGTGGTTTGTTTTGGATGTTTCATGTAATTGTTTTATGATGTATATTATTTTGTTTTGACTAATACCTGCTTCTTCTCTGCCTGCATCAGGATTGCTCGCATATCCTCCTCCCCGAACCAGAGCGGCGGTCGTTTCTAAAAGAACTTCGCAGACCTGGAATCGATAACCTCCGGCGCATGCAGATTGTGAAAAAGATCAATGAGAGATGCCGAAAGACACGGACATGCTACAACTGCAATGCCATCAACGGCGTGGTGAAGAAAGCTGGAACCAGCGCTTTGAAGATCTCACACGAGAAATTCAGGGCTTTCAACACATCAACGTCAGTGAAGAAGGTACCCCCACCTAGCAAGATTTTCTTCGATAGGTCGTTTGAGGAAGCGAAGAAGAGCAATCCGGAGATCGAGAAACATTTTAAAAAGGCGCACGATGATCTCCATCCGCTCCGTGTGCTGAAGCTCTTCCGTCGCATTTCGAACGAAGATTGCGAGCTACTCGGACTGAACCCTGCGGAAGCTAGACCCGAGGTGTTTCTGTGGCAGTATATTCCCGCTCCGCCTGTGTGCATTAGGCCGTCGGTGGGACAGGAGGCTGCTAGCACTGAAGACGATCTGACTGCAAAACTGGGGGATATTATTCAGAGCAATATGAATCTGAAAAACGCGTTGAACAAAGGCGCCCCTGTTCAAACCATCATCGAATGCTGGGATCACATGCAGTTACAGCTTGCAGTGTACATCAACAGTGACGTTCCGGGTCTGCAAAAGGCCGATTTTGGAAAGCCGATTCGAGGTTTTTGTCAAAGACTCAAGGGAAAACAGGGGCGATTCCGTGGAAACCTGTCGGGGAAACGTGTTGATTTTTCCAGCCGAACTGTCATATCTCCCGATCCCAATCTCCGAATCGATGAGGTTGCAGTGCCCATTCTAGTTGCTATGAACATGACTTACCCGGAGCAGGTTACGAGGTATAACAAGGAAAAGCTGCGACAGTGTGTTCGCAACGGTACAAAGACCTGGCCCGGTGCGAATTATGTTCTCAAGAAGAGCCAAAATTTTAAAATGAACCTGAAATTCGGTAACCCAAACCTGATTGCGAATGAGCTGGAGGAGGGAGATATTGTCGAACGCCATATTGAGGACGGAGATATTGTTTTGTTCAACCGACAACCTTCTCTGCATAAACTCAGTATTTTATCACATTTTGTCAAAGTCCGACCACACAGGACATTTCGTCTTAACGAGTGCGTATGCAACCCTTACAACGCAGATTTTGACGGAGACGAAATGAATCTACACGTGCCGCAGACAGAAGAGGCGAGGGCGGAAGCAATGGAGTTAATGGGAGTGAAGAATAACCTGGTTACACCAAAAAACGGCGAACCCATCATTTCTGCTATTCAGGATTTCATTACTGCTGCCTACATGCTCAGCAGCAAGAATGTTTTCTACGACCGCAAAACCTTCACTCACGTTTGCCTGTACATGCTGTTACCTGGCACCAGATTTGACCTCCCTCCTCCTTCAATCCTGAAGCCTCAGATGTTATGGACGGGAAAGCAGGTTTTCAACATATTGATGCGACCCAATAAGGATTCTCCAGTCCTAGTCAATTTGGACGCCGCCTGTCGAGAATTCAAAGCTCCCAAAGGACCACCTCGCGACCTAGATGCTAATGATCGCTGGCTCTGCATTCGGAACTCAGAAGTCATGTGTGGGGTCATGGATAAATATACGATTGGGTCCGGCAAGAAGGATTCCGTATTTTACGTCATGCTTCGAGATTACGGACCTGCTATTGCGGCTGAGGGGATGAACCGTCTCTCAAGACTATGTGCCAGATGGATCACGGACCTCGGTTTCTCAATCGGAATCACTGACGTATATCCAGGCGACAGATTATTGGAAGAGAAGAAAGAACTGGTAGAGCATGCATATGCGCAGTGCGATGAGGTGATTCAAAAGTTCAAGTCTGGAAAGCTTGAAAAGGCACCGGGGTGCGACGAGCAGATGACGATGGAGAACATAATATCAGGTATTCTCAGTAAAGTTCGTCAGCAAGCGGGTGACCTCTGTATTTCGGAACTGAGCAGATGGAACACTCCCTTGATAATGGCCACTTCCGGATCCAAGGGTTCGAACATCAACGTCGCCCAGATGGTTGCGCTCGTCGGTCAGCAGATCATTGGAGGTCAGCGAGTTCAGGATGGATTTCAGGATCGAACGCTGCCTCACTTTCCCAAGCATGCTCGTCAGCCTCCGGCGAAAGGTTTCGTGCAGAACAGCTTCTTTTCTGGCTTGACCCCGACAGAGTTTCTTTTCCATGCTATTTCTGGAAGAGAAGGTCTCGTTGATACAGCCGTTAAGACTGCAGAGACAGGTTACATGTCCCGTCGGTTAATGAAATCGCTGGAGGATCTGTCAACGCGATACGACGGAACTGTGAGAAATTCGTCTTCGAGCATTGTTCAGTTCCAATACGGTGATGATAAATTAGATCCCGTTGACATGGAGGGCAACGCTAGGCCAGTTAACTTTGACCGGACTTTTACACACTCCGAAGTGACTACTTTCGATAACTCTGACAAGGGCCTTCTTCCGGATGAAATCATGACGCTTTGCCAAAGCCTACTTGCCAAAGAACGGGCTAGTCTTGATAGATATGACTTGATGGGCAATCGTTTAGATTATATGGATCGAAGCGATAACGGCATTGACCAGCTGGAGAGTGCCCGAGATTATCTTCAGTCCATTGAGGACTATATAAGTTCCAAGGCTGAAAAGCTGAGGTCGATTGACGGAGGAAACAACAATGGCCAGGGAGGAGGAAGGGGCATCAATCACACAGCCAAAATATCGGCCAGGACACTCGCTGCGTTCATCACCTCGTGTCTGGTCAAGTATAAGAAGGCTCAAGTTGAGCCTGGCCATGCTGTTGGTGCTGTTGGAGCACAGTCGATTGGAGAGCCAGGAACGCAGATGACCCTGAAAACCTTCCATTTCGCTGGCGTTGCTGGTATGAGCATCACTCAGGGTGTGCCTCGTATCAAGGAAATCATCAACGCCTCCAAGGAAATCAGTACACCAGTCATCACCTGTCAGCTTGTGAATAAAGGGGATCTCCGCGCCGCACAGATTGTCAAAGGTCGAGTTGAGAAGACATTTATGCGAGATATCATCTATTATATCGAGGAAGATTGGACAGGCAACGACGCGTATATCAACATCAAAATAGACTTCTCTACCATTCAAAACCTGCAGCTCGAACTGGGTCTACAAGATATCCTCTCCGCCATAAAGAAGCACAAGCGATTCAAATCCGCTGATCTAAAATTCCGGTCGTTCGGCTCGCACATCCACATCTTTGTCGATCAGCAAGCCACCCGAACTGCCCTCTCCAAATCCGAAGAGGCCGCCACTGGAGCTGACCCCTACATTCGCCTCAAGCACCTCAAACGCCTCATCCCCACTATCCAAGTTCTCGGGCACCCCCAATGCTCCCGAGCTATTATCCGTACGGACGAAACCTGCACCACCAACACCCTCCTCGTCGAGGGCTACGGCCTGCGTGACTGCATGACCACCGATGGCATAGACGGCCGTAACACGCGCACCAACAACATCATGGAAACGCGATTGGTTCTCGGCATCGAAGCAGCGCGAACGACCATCGTCGAAGAAATCGGCGAAGTCATGAAAGACATGGCCATCGACCCGCGGCACATGCAACTGCTCGCAGACGTCATGACCTATAAGGGCGAGGTGCTGGGCATCACGCGCTTCGGGCTTGCCAAGATGCGGGACTCCGTGCTGCAGCTTGCCAGTTTCGAAAAGACGGCGGATCACCTGTTCGACGCCGGTGGGGCGGGGAGGACGGATCTCATTGAGGGGGTGTCAGAATGTATTATAGTAGGAAAGGGCATCTCGCTGGGAACGGGGTCGATGGAAGTGATTCGGGCGCTGAATTTCTGTGAGGGCCAGATCGGACCACGGAAGACGGTGTTCGAGGATGCGTGGGGGGAGCTGTGTGAGGGGCGGCGGTCCGGTGCTAGCGCAGGGCCTTGGAAGGGAGCGCAGGCGAGCGCGAGGAAGAGAAGGAGGGAAGAATAAGTATGAAGGATGGATATAGACCGCTGTGCGTGGCGAGGACAGGCAAATTTAGTGTGTCATATACCAAACACCATCTCTGGCAACACAATGATTTATTTGCATTTGACATTACATGTGTATATACATGTATATATATATATATATATATATATTCGAAAGAACTAAACGGGAGAAATGCTGCAAAGGACACCATTCGTAATTCTGGGATTCTTTGACCATCCTGCGTCGGTGGTTGGAGTGAAGACAGTTTGTCCCGACTCGATTCTCGAGCTGGAGGCGAGTCTGACCACGCATCTAGTTACAGCTGGACATTCGTATAGTAGCTACGCCACATATTCCTTTCCATATCAGACATACAACGTGCCGCCAGCATCGAAATGAGAGACTGATCTGCGTAGACGAGCTCCTCAGGCTCAGGATGCGTAGTCCAACAGCGCCGGTCAGTCGGTATAACCAACTATACCCGCAGATGCCTCGGCTCAACAGGACGCTGACAGCCCAAACAACGCGCAGATACAGATTAACTGCTCAGGAACCGAGTCCATACGCCATCTGGGGAAATGAGCCGATGGGCGCGCATTCCGCAAGATGCCTAACCTTGGTTCTGAAATCTTGACGTCGTAGATCCATGTAGCTTGGACTGACCGTAGGCTAAAAGTGCGGATAGACTCTGGACCGAGAGCTTATTAAAGCATGTGCAATAGTTAACGAGTTGTAAAAGCACCCATGTATTAAATGTCAGACCCTCCGACGATCCTCGGTTGGACTAGTTACTGCTTCTGTAGCTGATGGTTATATTACGCTGTCTCCCCGCCCGAAGTGATTCTATCCATCGAACGTAGATACATCTGGACCATGGCCCGCAACATCCCCTCCTACCGGTACTTCAACGTCGCCTTCCCGCAGGAATATGTCGCCCACATCGAGACCAACAGGCCGGAGAAGTTGAACGCCTATTTTGAGCCGTATATTCCCTCCCCCGTTCCCTGTTCCACTTCCCCTTCCCCGCCCTTCCCCTGTTCAACGGCCTTCAATTAACCCTGCGCAAAAATGACAGCATGTGGCTCGAACTGCGCACCGTCGTAAACACCCTCTCCACCTCCCCCGACGTCCGCGCCATCATCTTCACCGGCGCCGGCCCCGCCTTCACCGCAGGGCTGGACGTGAAAGCCGCCTCGGAGGGCATGCTCGATCCCAAAGCTGCCGCCAAGGGCGTCGACCCGGCCCGCACCGCCGCCCGTCTCCGGCGCCACATCGCCGAATTCCAAGACTGCATCTCCTCCCTCGAGCGCTGCGAGAAGCCCGTCGTCGTCATCCTGCACGGCATCTCCTACGGGCTCGCCGTGGACATGGCCGCGGCGGCAGACGTGCGCCTCTGCTCCGCCGACACCAGAATCGCTGTCAAGGAGGTTGATATCGGGCTTGCGGCGGATATCGGCACGCTGTCGAGGCTTGGCAAAATCGTGGGCGCGTTCGGGTGGGTGAAGGAGGTGTGCATGACGGCGCGGGTGTTTGGGGCCGAGGAGGCGCGCCGCGTCGGGTTTGTGAACGAGGTGTATGAGACCAAGGAGGCGGCCGTCAGGGCTGGGGTGGAGATCGCCGGGCTGATGGCGCGCAAGAGCCCCGTGGCGGTGCAGGGGACGAAGGAGCTGCTGAACTGGTCGCGGGATCATTCCGTGCAGGACGGTAGGTTCAGACATCTGTTTCGTTTTGAGGACGCGGAATGTGCTGACGTCGGGCATCTCTCGGTAACTAGGCCTGCGATATACCGGCGTGTGGAACAGCGCCTCCCTGCAGACGAGCGATATCCAGCGGGCTCTGCTCTCCGGGCTGGAGAAGCGCACCCCGACATTCGAGAAGCTGTGAGGATGGCTGCGGAGCGTCCGACGTATACACATTCCACATCTACGCTTTTACGTCTGTATATACTTCGGATCGCAGAGGCATTCCTCCGCTAACCGGGTTTACCTGGAAGGCATCCATCTCTATATACATGGAGTTGCATGCAGATCCGGACCGTGTATGTAAACGCACTGAACGTGCAGTGAGTCGCGAAAGGCACAGAGTACTTCCTCACACGTATATATAACTCCGTACATAGTTTAAAGCTTTCACAATCCATATATATATCCAAATTAGAACCTGAATATCCATATCCAAGAGCAAAAGACAGATCCATGAGGTGGCATTAATAGAGACAAACTAGAAACAACCGAGAAATCAAAACACAAGAGACGTATATAAAGTCATTCAACCCACCGCTTCATGATATAGAGGTATGTATAGCTATCATTCCATTCCCTATGCGCCACTTTTGATGCCAGACAAAGATTCTTTTCAGGGGAAGAAAATTAGTGAAAAAAGTGTCAATTTCTCAATGCGTCGATGGGAAAACTGGGCGGAGAAGTTGGACCTCCCTAAACACAATCAAATGAATCATCACGCCCTAACCATCAATTCAGAAATCGCAAAGCAGTCAAAGAGAAAGGAAAAGAAGAAAAAAGACAAATATCATAACCCTAGAAACCCCCTCTTCAACTCCCCTCCTCCCACCCTGCCCTCTCCCTCTCCTTCTCCCGAGCTACCTCCTCCAAAACCGCCCTGACACACCCCCTCCTCCCAACCCTCTGGTAATAGCCCATCAGCGCCGGAAACCGGCTCTCATCCAACATCCCAACCTCCATAATAATATCCCTAACAACCGGCCAGAGCGCGCAATCCTCAATCCCAAAGAACTGGCCCGCGTAAAACGCCTTGTGGCGCAGAATAACCTCAAAACCGTCCATCAGGCGCAGGACACCGTGCGGGGTTTTCAACTTCTGGAACCGGCGCCAGGAGCGGAGCAAGTCGTCCGTTTCACGCAGTTTGTCATGCAGGGATGGGGCCTGTTTGTGCTCTGGTTTGTGCTGCTGCTGCTGTCGCTGCTGTCGTTGCGACTGCTTCTTTTCGAGGCGCGCTTTGCCAGCGCCAGGACTCGGACGCGGACTCGGACTCGGACGCGGGCTCAGACTCGGACTCAGACTCAGACTCGGACTCGGACTCGGACTCTTCGACTGCCTCTGCTCCACAGTCGCCTCCAGCCCCTTCAACCTCGCCACATGAAGCAAAATACTCTCATCGCCCGCAATGCACGTCGCACCGTCGACATCCATATAAACCGGCCTCGCCCCGCGACTCTCGCTCCGATGCGGGAGCGAGAGCGTCCCCCTCAACGCAGCCGGAAACTCGTCAACACCCACAGCCTCAAAGCGCACCCCATTCTCCACAAAGCACAACCGCACCCTCAGGTCCGCCACCTCATCCCCGCAGCGCAACAGCTTCCCCACCAACGCCGTGGAGAAGTGACAACATCAACCGCCGCCCATAATGGCTCCCAGCGATCGTCTGCTGATCTCCTGCCAAACGCCTGATCATCGGTCGCTCGCAGCCTCGCATGCACGATGCGGCCGGCCGATTGCTTGGTTTTGGAAATCGCCCCCTGGCCCCAGATGGTGTCTGTGTCCGGGTTGATGAAGGTGGCGATGTGGCGGAAGGTGAGGGAGATGCGCTCGCCGCCGAAGGCGAGTTCTTCAGGCAGCTTTGCGGCGGCGGGCCGTTTGTCGGCGCGGATGGCGTGGAGCCAGCGCATGTTTGTCTTCTCGCCGAGGATGAAGAGGGAGTTGTGTGGCAAGGGGACCTTTTGGGTTCGGCGGGTTGATGCCCTGGAGCTTCCCTTGCCCTTTGAAGCTCTACCGCCAGCGTCGGTGTCAGCATCCGCATCCGCATCCGTATCAGCACCAGCAATAGCATCCGTATCAGCACCAGCAGCACCAGCAGCAGCAGCTCCACCCCTCGCATTCGCCGAAGGTTTAGTCCGCAGCGTCATCGTCCTCTGCGCCCCGAGGCTGACATTGCAGATATAAGAGCCCCGCTGGATATCGAGCGTTTTATCCGAATGTTCCGAAATGCGATCCAGGCCATCCCGATACAGCTGAATGAGAACATGATTAAGCGGGTGCCCAAGCTGCTTCTCGACGACCCGGCGCACCGCATTGACAGTTTTCGAGAACGGCAAGAGGGCGGGCGACTCGTCGGCCGGGTGCCGGTAGACGGGGACCGAATTGTCCAACTGCATTGCGCCCTGGACGCCTACCAGCCGCGGCACCTGGCCGGACATGTGGTACATTTTCTGCCAGTTCACCTCGTCGCGGAGCAGGTCGAAGGTTTTGGGGGGTAGAGGTAGATCGTAGAGGATTCGGGAGTCGCCCTCGCCTATTCTGTCATTGGGGCCGAGGAGGGTGTTTTGGGCTCGTGTGCTTCTTCCAGACCGTGTTACGCCACGGGAAGAAGGATCGGCTGGCGAGGTGGTGGTGTCGAGCGGGTGCCTCCGCGACCGAAGCTGGGATTGGGGTTGGGGTTGAGATTGGGGTTGGGATTGGGGTTGGGGTTGGGGTTGGGGTTGGGGTTGGGGTTGGGGTTGAGGTTGGGGTTGGGATTGGGGTTGGGGTTGAGGTTGGGGTTGGGATTGGGGTTGGGGTTGAGGTTGGGGTTGGGATTGGGGTTGGGATTGAGGTTGGGGTTGGGATTGGGATTGCGATTTGGGTTGAGATTGGGATTGGGATTGCGATTGGGGTTGAGATTGGGATTGCGACTGCGACGGCGACTGCGGTTGGTCGGCGGTCTGATTTGTCTCATCTTGGGAAACTGACCTTCGGGGCCTTCTCATGCGCGCACGGTTGGATTTCAGTCTGAGAGCCGCAGGGGTAGACGCGGCGGCACAGGGGTGGGAAGAATCCTGGGAGCGGGATGCGGCCCGCCGTATATGAGGCCGTCGTAGAACATCGCCTTCACACGGTTCGTTTTCAGACTCCAGGGTGGTGCCGCGGGCATCATCCAGGGAGGCGGAGGGTGTGTGCCCTCTGCCCCTCCTGGGCGTCGACCGCGTGGATTGCCGGGGAGATTTGACAGCGAGGATATCCATGTCCGCCTCGATTCCCACGGGGGTGGAGGGGGTGGACTGCTCCGGCCACTGCTCCGGAGGCACAGCCGCCTCCTCCCAATCCTGCTCCTCTGTCAACTCCTTGCTCGTGATGCCATTGGCCCCCATCATGTCGGCCATGCGCCTCATGGCCTCTTCATGGCGCGAAAAGCTTCTGAAGCCCAGGCAGTCCTCGACAAGCGTAACGTCCAAGCCATGCGAAACCGCATCGAGCGCCGTGGCGTACACCGAGACATTGGACAGCGAGCCGCAGATGTAGAGTTCCCTGACGAACTGCGTGCGGAAGGAGAGGAGGAGGTCATCCGACTGGAAAGCAGAGTAATCGGATTTTACCAGCACGGTGTCTCGCTCGTGGTCGATGGCCGAGAGGATGGGTGCGGGGAACTGGCAGCCGACCGACTTTGGCAGACAGCAGCGGCGCGGCCCGCTAGCAGCTCCTCCGCCTCCTCCGCCTCCTCCACCTCCTCCGCCTCCTTCTCCTACTCCTCCTACTCCTCCTACTCCTCCTACTCCTCCTACTCCTCCTACTCCTCCTTCTCCTTCTCTTACTCCTCCTCCTCCTCCTCCTCCTCCTCCTCCTCCTCTTCTTCTCCCTCCCCCCGTCTTATTAATAGCGGGGAGGGACAGAAAGGCCTCCGGGTCCTCCGAGTACAGCGAGGGCTGCTCACGGCGCGAATTCGCCGCCGTCTTCTTCCCCCGTATCCTCCGCAGAACAGGACTTTTCGCAGCCGGGCCGACCATTTACCGCACCATTGCCGCCGCCGCCGCCGCCGCCATCATCCAGTGCACCCTCACCCTCGCCCTCACCCTCGCTGCTACTACCAGGCGGCGGCATTTTATCCACGACGACCACCTCCCCGCCGCGGTTCGGGTTGAAGACGGGGCGTCTCTGCTCGAACAGTGTCTGAACCCAGATGACATTACCAGTTTCGCGGAAGCGCTGGGCAAGCAGGGTGATGGTGTCGAGGAAGTCGGGGACGTTGCGGACGAAGAGGGCGCCGTCTGGTTTGACGAAGTCGTTTTGGAGGTCGAGGATGATGAGGGCCTTGCGGCTGGGGACGTTGGG